ATTAATATAAACAATTACAAATTTCAATTTTTAATTTAAAAAATATAGTAACTTACATTATTACATTAATGTCAGGGACCTCAATCAAAAACTAAAAACTAACAAGGTTTCAATCAAAGAATATTGATAGCTATGGACCGCATCCAAAGTGTCCCTTTAGATAACGATCACTTAGTCAACCATTTTTAACCAACTTCTAGTTCTAACTATACACTCCTACTTCCTGATTTACCGACAAAAGAAAAGCTAAGTATCTATGTTTTTTAGAAACAAAAAGAAAATTGCCCCAAGTTTAAGAGACAACAAACTTACTCCACCACATCTCTTTTAACTCCTCACACACAAGTGATATTTCATACACTGATATGTTATGCATTAATCTATAGTCATCAAATTTATAAGTTTTCACTATCATCATTGCAGTTAAAAGCGTACAATCCCTACACCCTATATATTCGTCATTTTCGTGCCCTTAAACCCTCTATGAACCCGTAATAGTAAAACAAGAATTTTGGAAAAGGTTAGAAAACGTAACAGAGAATTTATGTCCTCTTCCCGTCCATTCCAATTGACAGTTAGGGACTGAGAATTATTGCAACCTAATGCAAATTAGCTGGATGCATAAGTTTGAATTTTTAACTATATGGAGAAATTCAACCCAAAGAAGAACTATTAAGGCATTGGAAACCCTATCAACGTACATCTACGTGGACCAAAAATGTAATCTGGCCAACTTCCAAATTCCTGTCCTTTTTAGTGGGGACTCGGTTTCCTTTTCACAACAACTCCAGTTCATGTGGATATGAAAGACTTTGCTCTACGATTCTGTTTTTGACACGTGGTTCACATTTGGAAGTATATTATACACTGTTTTCACAGTATTCGAATCGACCCCATAAGGAAACACTTCACCGTTTTGTTTTTATTTTTTTTATTTTATTGATTTATTGCTTTTCAAACTACTTCTGCGCTTAATTTTCAACTTATGGAAGTAAATCATCAGATATCCGTAAAGTAGGATGTGTGGGCACAAGAGAAAAGATGAAATTAAGAATGAGGACAGAAATGAAGCTAGAGATTTGTATGAATGGGATATCCTGAAACAATAAAGTCACAACTAAAAAGCTCAAAAATTTATTAAAAAAACACTTATTTATTATTCCATAAAGTTTTTCATACAACATATTACAATATTCATTGATGCGTTTTCATGTTTTAAAAGCGTTGCATGACAACATCATTACAAATATCATCAAATATTTGTCTTAATAAAAATAACTATGTCATCATTCATCCATTGATAATAAAAATAACTATGTCATCATTCATCCATTGATCTCTAAATTAGAAAGCTCAATTCTAAATTGTAGTGCCAAAAACGAATTAATGAAGTAAAGTCATATAAAATACCTTGTGGAGTAAAGTTCTTGCATCGAATTTTGATAATTGATTACTTGAATTCAAACTGTCTATGAAACTCCAAATTCAACTAAGTTTTGGTTGAATGAAAGGGGAGGAAAACCCTGAGGGTAATGCTAGAGAGACCAAATTTGTAAACCAAATAATGTGGATATTAATGATTAGATTATTACTTATGTGTTGATTAACTTACTTATTTCTTATTGATGATACCTCATTTGGTTTGCAAATTTGGTCTCTCTAGCATTATCCAAAACCTTGAGAAAATGAGGACAAGAATTGCTTTGCCATGGTGGTGGGATGAGTTTTGTAAGGATTAGGGACCTAGGGTTAGGAAAACGGGGAGGCACAATTAAATTGTCATCAAGTGGGGCATGGGGAATGCAAAATGGTAAACTTAGTTTAGTTGTCTACCAATTTTTTTCAATTGTAGTTTAATTAGGGCTGGTCATGAGGAATTGAAATGCAAACTATACATTTTTTCTTCTAAGGAAAAAAAATGAGTGGGGGTGCCCCCTAGGCCTACACTAGCTCAGTCCTTGAATGAGGATATCCGAGGTAAGTAGGAGTGGCTGCAATTGAAGATAAGATGAGAGAAAATCACTTAAAGTGGTTTGGACATGTGAACCGAAGACCTACAGATGTTCTGGTTAGAAAATGCGAGTATAAGATAGAAGTTCAAGGTAAAAAGAATAAAGGAAGATCTAGAAAGACTTGAAAATAGACTTTGAGAATAGACATTAAGTATTTGGACATAACAAAAGACTTAATGCTAAACTGAGCACAGTAACGTCTAGGGATGCTGATCCTATTTAATAAGATAAGACTTTGTTATCGTTGAAGTAAATTATCAACGTTAAATAATTGTTAGGTTTGAAAATTCAAGAGATACATGCAGACAATTGATGAGTAGTAAACCGCACGCGCGTTATCCTATCGAGAATTCCTAATGAATGGATGCCCTAACTCCACGATGGAGCACTACCTTCCTCTATCTGGTCTGTATATATATGGGGTATGTACTTTCATTGTTGCATGTGACATTTTAAGGGAACAAATGGAAAAAGAATTACTGTCGTCATTACTCTGATTGAAACAGACCGACCATTAAACTGGTCGGCATGCACTAATTCAAACGGCTCTAACCCTAGCTCTTGTTAATAGGTACTGTCGGCATACTCTTGTTGAAAGACTTAACTGACCTTCATATCTAACCATATTATAACACATAAAGTCGTACATCACGTTCAACTGTTGTGGGTAGATAAAAGGACCTGTGGCTAATAAACCTAATATAAAAATTCATATTCGTTTATCCATCTGATTAGTCACTGATATTTTTCCCACCTTATTTTTCTGGTGGTGCAATTTGAACTATCAACATTGAAGAATCTTTCCAAAAGGATGAAAACAGAAACATATATGGTAACTGAGTGCATGGCTATAGCGTCGTTGATGATAGGTTGATAACATATTCCAATGGTGGTGAGAGCACACAGTACGTACATGAAGATGAAGCAGTATGATTAACTATTACTATTCAGACTAAAATGTAAGGTCGATAGCACGCATAGCTACCATGAGACACTCCCCCCCTTCAAGCAACAACCACTACGATTCCACTTCCCAAATCCCCATCTTACTTTCAGTTTTGCAGGCCAAACCGTTACCAAAACCACCGCCAGTTTTAATTTCCTACCTTTCTTTCATAAACTCTCTCTCTCTCTCTCTCTAGGGGCTCTCTGTATACCAGCCCTAGACTGCAGTGCCCACTTGCGACTATCACTATCAGGCTGGCAGTTATATGAACCTTCTATCCTTTTGTGCTTTTAGCTGCTACACATCATGTTTCTGATGCCCTTGTGGGAAAATTTTGGTTCTGAGTCACAGATATGTTGGTCCCAAAAGCTTGAACGATATAGATAAGATCATACAGAATCCATCCTTATTTTAGAGATAATCCAATGTATGATACATTCTTGTATTGCACTATATATGGTTATTAAAGCATGTACAGAAGGGCAATAGTCTATATATTCACCATTGCACTATATCCAGTTAAATTTCAAATTGCTGATGGCATGGCAGATGAGTTAAGAAATGGAACAAGGAAAACATGCATAGTCTACATATTCACCATTGAGCTAGCTATGGCAGCTCGAAAATAACTCTTGGGAAATTCTGCTTACTAGCCTAAAAATACAACAACTAAAATTAGCCGCGCTCTCAAAATGCAATATTTACTAACTTTTTTGACAAGAATATCCTCAATAGTGTGTCAATAACGTATTAATATTGTGTTGATACTTTATTAACTTGAGGGTATTTTCATCCAAGAGGGCTAAAAGAGATTGCATTTTGAGAGTAGTGCTATTTTTGGTTGGTGAATTTGTAAAAGGGCTACTAAGCCCAATTGCCATAACTGTTCTGCCATGAGTTTAATAGCTCACGTGACAAGAGATATAGAGAAGAATACTGAAACTTATATACTCACTTATGAGCTAGTTGTGGTATCTTGAAAATAATTCTCCTATATTGAGTTCAACAAACCATCTGACGAGAGAAATAAAGAGAAACATTGAAATTGCTTGTGATATTAACGGAGTTTATCTATCATGTAATAAGTCTTGTGGGTTGGAGAGTTAGTCTCAGTAGTTATTAACACCATCAATTACTTATCATAGAATGGATTTGACTATTTTTAAATGTTGAAGTGGCTATATTTTACCGTGCAAACATCACAATCACAATCATTCATTTTCTTTATCATTATTATTTAAAGAACATTTCTAGAATAATTTTGTCAATTAAATACCGTTTAATAATTCATATGAGTCGAACAAACTTCATGATAAACTATTGATTTGTTTGATACATATGAATAACTAAACGGTCTTCAGATGAAATAAATTTTTTAGAAAAGATCTTTAGATGATTAGAAAGAGAATAATTCCTTCGACTATAACGTGTGTATAAGAAAAGAGGATGGCACAACATTACATGTAATTGTTAAGAAGGAATAACTCCTTACATATACGAAAAATAGTGTAATTTCCATCCAAAAAGTATAATTTTCCAACATGTATATGGGGTCCACCCAGATCTCACCTGATTACTGCCAAATGCCTTTTGTAGGAGATTTTACAGTGTGCTAGAATTATTTTGCATGCATGTTAATTCTCTTGGTGGAGAGCAACTGCAAGAAAATTTGTTTTTTGTTTTAATGAAATAAAAGTTAATTACTGCATTAATAATATAAGAACCACCTCCCATTGTGAGTGTTTTAGCACTTTATTCAATTCAGAATATTGATGTCATTGAAATAGATTTATTTGAGGAAAGTCTGATCATTTCTGTTGTCTATGTCTCTGTATGCGTGTATATGTGTGTGTGTGTGAGAGAGAGAGAGAGCGAGAGAGTAACGAGATTAACTACCGACTATCACAGGGATACATTATGAAGACTAAAAGGGAATTTGTAGAATAGAAAGAGAGAAAGGACAAACAGAAAATTGTGAAATTTTGATCACACAACTGGAGAATACTGTACTTAATTAAACCTTTAATTACTAACAAGCCTAATTAAGTAGACACCCAATGGGGCTCCCAATACTTTAACCATCCTTTCTCCTCACACTCACCACCACCCTCTTTGCACCTGCTTGGCCTTTTAAACTTGTCCATTCCCTCTTCACCCCCAACATTCAAACTATTCCCATCCACCTCCTCACCTTCCATCAAGCACACATTTGATGTCTTACCTTCTTCTTCTTCTTCTTCTTCTTCTTCTTCTTCTTCTTCTTCTTCTTTATTTTCTTCGACTTCTTCTTGATCTTGTTCTGCTTCCTCATTGATGTCATTTTCACATGCTTCATTTTTACACCCTTCATTGTATTCATGAGTGGCTGCTGCTTCTTCTGAGTCAAAACTGGGAGAAAAGGTTTTTGAAAAGCACAATCGAAGGCGGCCATTGCTCCTTTCAGCTTGGAAGAATGTATGACTTGAAGGGGCCTTGACAGCCTTCATGATCAGCCTACCATCTTCCCTGTGAGGCCTAACTTGTAGAGAATCCTCACCACTTATTGTTGTCAACGGAGGTGGGAAACCATGAATATTATTCGCCTTTTTTCCACCCGAAAATTTAGGCTTATTTTGTCGCTCCCTTGGCACAGCATTCGATTCTGATTCAGGCGTTGGTGAGAAAATGCTGAAGCTTTCTGTGATAATGGCGCCGGTCTCGCAGCCTAAGTCTTCGGTGCACATCTCCAAGCTCTTCTCATTTAGCTTGGTAACTGATGAGGTCCTGTAAACCCTAGGAGGGGTGTAAGTATTTTCTTCGTCCACCTCAGCAGTAGGGTTTTCTAGTGAGGGTTTGGAGATAGCTTGGAGGAAACTCCAGCCACCTACCAAGTCAGATTTTTCGGAGGTGGCCTTATTGCTGTTGATTTCCTCATAATTATTGCATTTCTCTTCAGAGAAACAACCCTTGATTCCTAATTCTTGGGTGCGAATTGGAGAGATGTGATGAGCTACTGGTGCCGAAAACTTTAGCCTTAGGGTTCTTGGCTCCACAAGATGAGGAGACTCCAGGCATGACTGCAGACCTTGGCACACGATTGTCGCCATATACGATGACAATTTTCACCAAAATTTGAAGTGGGAAATGACGTTTTTAGCTGGAAAATGCTATGAAAGAAGAGAGAGGGGAAATAGAGGATTCAGATGAAAGGTCTTGTTGTTTTGTGGTGTGTGAGAAACAGGGAAAACAGAGGACTCTGTGTTTCGGGTGTTGGGAAATTAGAAGGAAGAGAGGTTTCTGTGTTGTTTGGAGAGAGAGAGAGAGAGAGAGAAAGAGAGAGAGAGAGAGAGAGAGAGGGAGGGAGGGGAGGGAGGAGAGAAGAGAGGAAGGAGGGGACTGAGCAGAGTGATAAGGGAGGGTGTGGGGTGGGTATTTGTAGTCCGAAGTGGAAGGTATAGAGCTCAGAAGGAGAGGTGACCCAGGTGGGCAGGGGGGCCTTTTTTGCACCACTTGAATTATACAAATTTTAATAGGGTAACACACTACAACTAGGCAAGAAAAGGAATTTTTAAAATAGTCCTAACCTTTAAGAGAGAGATTCAGGCTCACTATTTTTTTTTCTTTTGTACATTCCTCTTAATTTCAGTTTTTATTTTTTCTTTAATTTGTTCAATCTGTTATCGTTTCAGAGGGGGTCTAGAGGTCCACTATTAATGCACCAATGTCGTCCCCAACTTATTCACTTGCTAGCCTAGCATGTGTGAGGTTTTCACAAAAAGCTTTTGTGCAATTTGAAGTGAAACCGAAGTTATATTCTATTTTGTAGGGTTTCCAAGATGGGACTTTCACATTCTTCAACATGCCCCCTCACCTGAGGTCACTCTTTAGTGAGCCACATGTGCATCCAATCTTACACCAGTCACATTTATGTTTTTTTCCTTTTGTTTAGGCAGTAGAATATTCAATGCTCACAATTGGAAGGTTCGGGTCGGGTTGAGGTCATTGTTCAAAATAGTAATCATGCTGATATTATTGGGTTGTGTTTTATCACAAAAGTGTCTCAGTGCAATAAAAAGTGTAGTCATTCAATATATGTTGTTATTTGTCATGTCAAGTTTCCAATGTAGGATTACATTCTTCAATACTCCTCCTCACGTAGAACTGTGTCTTTAATGGGCCACACAAGCAACTAATTTCACATTAGTAACCTCTTCTTTCTTTATTCTCAAGGAGTGGAAAATTTGTGGTCAGCTCTTGGTCATTATTGGAATGGTTTGTCAAGTCCAGCTCAGTTATCATGTCATTGTTTCACCATCAGATCAGCGGTCCACTACTAATTGTATCGATATTGTCTCAATTCAACCATCTATACAAATTGGCAATTATTGAGTTTTATCACAAAAAATCTCATTGTAATTAGAAGTGAAACCATTCAATATAGTTGTAACTATCATGTCAAGTTTCCAATGTAGGATTACAATCTTCAACCCACTCCAATTGCTAGAAGCAAAAAAAGCAAAATGTGTTGGAGGTGAAAAATAGTGTACATAAATCATTTTCCAACTTTTTTTTTTTAACTCCAATTAACTTTTTTTTCTTTTAAACTTTGTGTTTTCTCTTTATTAATAATATTAAATTTTGAGTTAATATGAGGATTTCGAAATTTTCAGCAAAAGATTTTTTTTATTCTTTCTCAAATCTCATGTAGACAAAAATGTCCTTATATGGGCATGCATGACTGAATTTAAAGAGAGAGACAGATGGAATTTATCATTTCTTCAAACTTACCATATTTTCCCATTCATTTCCAAATGAAAGCCAACAAAGGCAAGGGAGAAAAGGAATCCTCCAAAAATTTCTTGACAGTGATATTGCTTTTTCTCTTTCCGAAATATAATACTTACCAATTAAATACCTGAAAACACTATCTGCTGTCTGGTGACCAGTTTTTTTTATGTATGATCCATATGCCGCACGAGTCTGGCATTAATAGTATGTAAATAAAGAGGAAAAAAATATACATCAGCACACACCCTTCGACATTACTAGATTTTGCACATATTTATATATTATGCTCACCGCAGATTGTATACACACAATCAACTTAGGAATATAGGGGGACATATTTTCTTGTACCAGATAACTTGCTATACTATTATCAGGTATCAGCTTATGTTTTATTTGAATGTGTAGTCCAAATCCACAATTTAACGATATAAAATACTAGACTTCTTGTCTCTTAAGATGCTCTTGTTGTAGAGAGGGATCACTTGTAGATACCTTTGAGTGACAAAGGGGTTTTCTAAACTAATAATACAAGTCATAAGAAAATTAAACCACATGAAACTTTAATATTGGCTTGAAATGCCACCGTAACATTTTAAAAGGGCGGGTGGGTGTAGGTACCTAAGTTTCCCCGTATTGCGAGATGGTAATATATAATGTACAGGGTTGATTCTTGATAGATGATCTGACCACAGAACATTAGTATTATATGCACGTACAAGTAAAGTTCGACTTATAAACAATTAGTCTAACGACAGAACATTACCTAGATCGAAATCTACGTGTTATTCTATATACCAGACCAAGATAGGAAGATTCATGCTGCATGCATTAAGAGGGGGGAAGACTGTCAGCGCAGCTGCATGCATCAATAATTATGTTTGTAGAAATACAATTTAATTAATGTCAGCAGGGAGACAGAATCCCACGGGCATATTTTCCTATGGATCTTTGAAACAAGGAGAGGGAGATGGAGTGAGTCCCACTTCAATATAACCCTGCAAAAACTAGCCTATCTTGTTCAAATAATGTCATAATATTGCCTCATGCCTGCCTGGTCGGAATATTTGTCAACGCAACTACTGAACATCATATTTTCGATTCAAAGTTTGCGACCTACCCACCACACAATTTCATTGAAATCATGTTTCAATTTGATTCAAACCTTGAAACTTGAAGGAATCTCTCAAAGGTAAGGCCTTTAATAATTTTTCTTTTTTATTTTTCAATTTTAGTTTTTGAAAGGCCATGTGGTTCCAGTTTTTTTCTTTTCTAATCACCCAACTTGGTGGATTGTACATAAAATTTGGTTTGTGTTAACAATTATTATGTTCCTGCCGTCACTTTGCATCAATCCCATAAGGCCATAGAACCTGTACATGAATCTTAACTCCCTGTAGAGCCACTGCACTGACTGTACGGACATCTTAGGTAGACATGTTAAAAGCTAGCTAAGTGATCCTCCACTAGGTTACCCTTTTGCATGTCGGCCGGCGATGTGCTTTGCTATTCATACCTAAGGCTATGTTTGAATAAGAAATTTTTAAATTTTAAGGGTTTGAGTCTAAATTAGTACGATGAATCAAAATGTAGATAAAGGTGATCAGTTATGCCTTTTATATGAGGATTATAAATCTCTCTTACATGTCTATGTACTGTAGATAGAGTCTTCTTTAGGATCGTAGGGGACTCTTTCCGCCAAGGACGGATGCTCAAAAAGCACCTTGGGATTGCCGACGAAGAAAGAGTTGCCTGACCGCAAGGAAGGCCCTAGACGAGTGGTAAAAGCATTACTAATTCATACTCTATCTACATTTTACATTCCATTTGTTACTAATTTGGACTCAATCTCTTGAGACTTGAGAAATTCCTCACTCAAACATAACCTAAATGTATCTCTCTCTCAAAAGAAAAACTCGAGTGGAGACTTCCGTGCCAAGTGGAAAAATGAGGAGAGACGGAGCTATGTACAGGCCATAAACTAGCATCCTCCTAAGCATGAAAGTCTAGCTCTGCCACTAAGCAAGAGTGGTTGGTACTACCTAATTAAAACATAATATGCGTCTCAAATTTGATTTTTTAATCAAACTTCTTAACACTTTATGTTTTAACTAAACATTGCATGTATGTCACTCATCTTTCCACATGACAGGAAAGTCCTCATGCTGAAACACCAGCACAACTGCAAAAGTGATCGATGTTGCCTATAGTTAAAACATAATATGTGTTTCAAATTTGTGGCTATAATTTAAATTGCATAGCACATATTATATTCTAGGGGAAACTTGATATAAGTCCAATTTTTTGAGTCAATAGTAGGAATAATCCAATTTATTAAAATAAGTCCAATTCCTTAAATTTAATTATTTAATTATCAATAATTATCTCTTCAATGAAAAAAATTATTGTAAAAATCAAATTTCTTCCTAATTATCTCTTTGATTATTTCTTTTTATTTATTTTTTTGTTATTTCTTGTTCTTACTCTTGCTTTATCCTATTATAGATTTTATTTTAATTTTTATAATCAACCTATATTATAGGTTAATTTTATTTATCTACCTATATGACATATTTTTTTCATAGTCAACTTGTCACCAATTAATGTGTTGTAGGTATATTATGTTTTTTCTACCTTTTAGTTAGGTTTCATATCTCACTTATAGTTATAATATACATTCATAAATTTGCTACTTGAGTTAGGGTAAAATGTTTTGCATATAAATTTATGTTAGTATATTAGTTTTTTTGTTATAAGATATATTAATTAGATATTTTGGAGTTGGAAAATGCATAATTTTAAAATTTTAATTGATTTTTAATATTTTTAGAAAATATTAAATGAGTATAAAAGAAATAAATACATATAATTAGATAACTGGATTCACTTCTAAAAACGCTCTATGATTTTGGACCTGGATCTAAAAGCCCTATATTCTAACTAAACACTGCATACATTTTGACCTAAAAAACACTGCCTAGTGCATACATATCACTCATCCTTCCACGTGTCATGATGAACACTCTTTATATCAAAGTCCCCCAAGAAAGGTCTATGATCTCTCTTTCTCTAAAAGATCAAAGGCTTGCTTATTGATCAAATGGAAAACCAGCTCAAGCTAAAGAAGCTATAACCACTTTGTGCTCGCGCACACAAAAACCCTAAATCATGTGGGAAGACAACAAGTGACCTACCCTAAACGCTAAAGCATATAATTGCCCTAAAAATGTTGCTTTTAGGAGTACTGGTTGCTCCTACTAGAGGGCGTTTTGTGGTGGTGAATGATGTGGGTTTCCCAGTATAGAAATGCTGGACCAGAAAG